CTGGGTGAAACATTTTCCACACTCAAAGCATTTGTAAGGCTTTATTCCTTCATGGATCTTCTCATGGGACGAAAGATTTGACTTCCGAGAAAAGCTCTTCCCACATTCCCAACACTTGTAAGGTTTCTCCCCTGTGTGAATCCTCTCGTGGTATCTGAGATGGGCTTTTTCACGGAAAAAATCGCCACATTCCACACATTGATAAAGTTTCTCTCCAGTGTGGATTTTCTGATGTCTAAGAAGGTGTGACTTTAGTCCAAAGCATAAGTCACATTCCACACATTTATAGGGTTTTAGTGTTGGGGGGTTCCTGAGATCTTTGGAGTTTTTCCCAGAGAAGGATTTCTCGCCCTCCAAACCGTGACTGGATCCACTTCCCACATGGACCTTCCTGTGGGTCAAAAGGAGGGACCTGCGAGCAAAGGATTTCCCACACTCTGAGCATTCATGAGGTTTTTTGTGGTTTTTTGGAGTGCTTCTTGTGTCTGATGGGGGACCCAGGAGTTTCCCACGCTCCATGCCTTCTGGCAGGTTCTGCCTTGCGCTGAGCTTCTGTTGTCTGTTGACTCGGAGGTAAATCTTTGGTCACAATCTTCTATCCACTGTTAGAACGGAAAAGAAGTGGAGATTAATATTTATTTTTGCAAAAGGAAGAGAATCACAAAATCTTGCCTTGGGACGGGAGGTAAAGGTCTTCCAGTCTGACCCTCTTCCTTGCCCAGGGGTCTGCAGTGCACCCTAGACAAATATCTGGCCTGAGGAAGCCCCCACATCTCCTAAGAGGCAAACCCTTCTGTTATTTACTTAGTCCAGCCTTTCCTCCTTGGTTCTTATCCTACGACAAGAACCATTTCTGGGTTGCAGTCATTAAGTGATCTTGAGGGATCTTAAGTGGATGGGCGCCAGACAAGGGCCGCTGGGTGGCCCCAGGGGTGGCCAAGGACCCAGGGACCTCCTGCCACAGGATTCTCATGGGTTGGGAAAATGCTCAAGTGGGATCCAAAGCTGGAAGTCTGAACTGAACCAGCCCAGCCGTACAAAGCAGCCTTGATTGACAGCAATGTTGGGGCCGGCCTTAAGTGGAGGCCTGGGGCTTCAGCGCTCTCAGCCAGCTGCCACTGACCTAGCCTGGCCTTCAGCCCAGTGTCACTGCTGCCACAGAGAAATGTGGCCTTAAACTCCAGATCGGTGGTTCTGCACCATTCTCCAAGCCGCATGTTCCACACCGTTTCCAAGCAACGTGTCCCAAAAGCCCCTGTAAGCTTCTCCAGGACCCCCTTAAGTCAAAGGCGGCCTGTGCCAGAACTCACACGGCCTCCTCTCTAAGGAGATCCATGCGTCTTACCTGGCACTTCCTCCCCCCTAATGACCCCTGAGATCACTTAAGCACCACACCAGAGAGAGCAGAATTGCAAGTCTTGAGGAAAGTGGTGAGGGCACGTCTCACGTAATGACCAGGCCGCTCAACAAGCGAGGTACCAATCCCAATGGTGGTCGTAAGTCGAGGACTACCTACAGGTAACGCAAAAGGTTACGGCATCACACAAGCCAAAGAGGAGGAAAGAGAGTTGAGGTTAATGCAAACAAACTCATTTCTTCTCCCCTTTTCTTGCTTTTTTCTGCACTTAGGAACTCTACCCCACCATGGCCTCCTTGATCCTGGCTTCCTCGTGACCCATTGCTTCTCCTTGCATGGATCCGTTTCACAGCTGAGCCTCTTGATAGGACTATACTTTCCTTTGGTCTGTTTATTTATTGGATGAATTTGCCACCCATTTTGGCAAGTGGATGCTTTACGTGGCTCCCTCTCCCCCGTGCGTTCTCTATCCGGATGGGGGAGAGGGAGGCCAACCAATTCCCTGGGCCACCTCAGGCCACTTAGATGTGTGTGTTTGTGTGTTAGAAAGGAGAGCTTAGTCAGGCCATCCTGGAAAAGACTCAGGCCCTAACAAGAAGATGAACAATTTTACAAGGTTTGGGACTTGTTCGATCAATGGTTAGATAAAAAATCTTGGTAATGGAAAATATTGGAGAACTTTTTATATTTTAAGAATAATAGAATGATATATGCGGTAACTTAAGGGTTTAGCACTGTTAAACAGATTAGAACGATGTAAAGGAATGATGTTGTATGATTTCAATATATAGAATATTCTGTTTAAAATGCAGAAATAATAATTGGAGTTGAACTATTGATGCAAAATGAGGTTGTATGAATTCAATGCTTAGACCAGTAGACATGGGTTCTAAATTTGTTTCACAATTTAACAACTTTTACTCATACGTTTTGACCTGCACTCCACACAGTGCTTTTTTCCCTCCTCCTTTCCCTTTTATTACAAACACCAAAAACAATGCTGTATTAGGTGCCANTCTCTCCCTACCTACCTACTGTATTTCTCCCTCTCTCTTCCTATCCCTCTATCTATCTACCTACCTACCTACTCTGTCTCTCTCCCTACCTATCTACTGTATTTCTCTCTCTCTCTCTTTCTATTTCTCTCTATATATATTCCTCTACCTACCTACCTACCTACTCTCTCTCTCCCTACCTACCTACTGTATTTCTATCTCTCTCTCCCTCTCCCTCTATCTACCTACCTACTCTCTCTCTCCCTACCTATCTACTGTATTTCTCTCTCTCTCTCTTTCTATTTCTCTCTATATATATTCCTCTACCTATCTACCTACCTACTCTCTCTCTCCCTACCTACCTACTGTATTTCTATCTCTCTCTCCCTCTCCCTCTATCTACCTACCTACTCTCTCTCTCCCTACCTATCTACTGTATTTCTCTCTCTTGCTTTCTATTTCTCTCTCTCTCCCCCTACCCACCTACTGTATTTCTCTATCTATCTCTATTTTGCTCTCTCTCTCTCCCTTTATCTACCTACCTACTTTTTTTAAAAAATGCCTCTTCAAAACCTTTGTGCTTCTTATACTCCGGTGCGTCTTATACTCTGAAAAATATGGTACTTACAGCCCAATCCTATGCACGCTTACTAAGAAGCAATTCCAATGGAGTTGAATGCATATCTACTGTATTGCCAAATTCTTCCAACAACACACACTGCACTTATAACAACTGGATTCAAATATAATCCTAAATTATAATGTAGTCAACTTACTTCTGACTTAGCAACTTGGGTAAACCAAGACGTGTCATAGTGCAAGAGTCAGCACTTACTCATAAGAGGCATCAGAGTGTCATAAAAGCCAAAAAGTCAGAGGAATACCAAAATTTACATACAATCTCACATAGGCTGCGGCTACCACAAAATGCTTTCCCAGATCAATGAAAGACCTAGCATCCATAGTCACACGCTACCCTTGGTTAATTTTAAATTTGGTAAGATTTTTTTTTTAAATCTTAAAAGCTTGTGTGAAGTCATCCTGTTTGGTTATTTCTTTCTTTGAATCTACAGTATATTGTACTAACAAACTTGGATCAATTCAATAAACAAGATCCAGACACAGACAGAGTTGGAAGGGGACATTCCACATCAACCTCCTATGCCCATGATGGCGAACCTATGGCACGCGTGCCAGAGGTGGCACGCAGCGCCTTCTCTGATGGCATGTGAGCCATCGCCCCAGTTCAGCTCCACTGCGCATGTGCGTGCGCCTCCCGCCGGCCAGCTGGTCTTCGGGTCTCTGCTGCGCATGCACATGGGGTGTGGCATGTGTGGGGAGGGCTCACATACACTGGGGGCAGGGGTGGGTGGGGGCGTGAGCACGGATGCATGGGGGTGGGGCATGTGTGCCTGCATGGGGGGGTGCATGCGCAGAGGCTGTGAGTGCATTGTATTTTAGGGGTTCAGGCCATGTGCGCTTTGGGCACTTGAACCAGAAAAGGTTAGCCATCACTGTTCTATGCCATGCAGGAATCCAAATTAAAGCTCTTGCGACATAGACCACACTTACTGAAGAGGATCCCACCAGCTCTTGAAGTAATTGGCTTCATTGAAACTGCTCTTAAATCCATTATTCCTTTTTCTGTACAGAATTCAAAAATGACAGAGAAGACAGTGGCATTCTGTTTGCACAGCATTGAAATAGCTGTCCAGAGCCATTTTTTTACAGGATTGGCAGAAAATAAATAATTAATAAAATAAAATAAAAATAATAATACATGTCTGTTACTCCCCTCTTAAACTATTATTCTCAAGATGTAACAAATCTAGAGCCCCTGTTTTATTTAAGTATTTATTGACCTTAAGCTTAAACAATGCTGATGATTGAGCTTCCTATTACAATATTCTTATTACAACAGAGAATCTTTTACTCAGGAATGAAAAAGTTAGCTACCCTCTAACTGGAGTAATTAAGACAAGCGTAAAATAATTTGGATTTGGAACTAATGACCCGTAGATCCTCAAGCAAGCAAATAAAATTCCTCTTCTCCCATTTCCTGTTTCAAATAACAGTATTTAAAAAAAAAAAAAAAGGAATGAAAACCTGCAACAATTTGCAACACTAATCAACAAAAATTGTACGCCTATTATATCTGACTGAAGGTTTTGGAATTAACCTTGAGCAACTTCAAAATGGGAAGCTTTAAAGATTCTCCTGGGAAGATAGGCCCAAATCACTGTAAATTTTCATCTCAAGTCCTCCCATCTCTTACTAATATTCATTCGGCATCAGCCAGAAGCAGTTCTTTGATCATCGACTCCTTGAAATATTCCCCCCCCCCCAAAAAAAGAAATAAAATATGTTCTGACATTCTTCCCATTTAGGCACATTCTGAAAATATTAGTTTCCTGTGGCTTTTCACGTCCCATGAGAATGGTTTTACATTACTCATTTAACACTGGTTATATTGTTTTATAGCCCTGATTGCATAATTAGCTTGGAGCCGCTAAAATGTGCAGGTTTGATCTCCGGGAACAAACCTATTGTATTTCTGCAATAAAATCCAGCTGCCACCGTGTGCATTCCCATCTTCAATCCCCAAGACAGGCTTCATAAAGACTTAGCCCTGGGCTAACTGTAGAAAAATTAATATGTGGGCTAATCCCTCCTCAGCATCTAATCTAAACAAATCCACTGTGATGCTGAGCAAAAGCTGTATCATGTTGGCATTTTCTGTTTTTCTTCTTTCACCTACAAGCCACAGCACCCACAAGTCACAGCAGAAATGTGGACTAAAGGAAAGAAATATGTCGAAGGATCAACTGAAGGATATAAGTATGGGATATATCGGTTATGGGAAGCTTCCTTTTTGTTTTAAGATGGATGTGGGATGCCAAGAGAGCTTGTGATGACTGCAGAATAATTTTGTCTGCTTTGATCTTCAGATTCCGGCAACACAATCAAGCAGCCAAAGCATTTGCAGAAGATATGAAGGGCGCCTATTGTTTCATTTGTAGTGGGGCCAAGAGCTGGACTATGGCAATGTGTACAAATGTGAGTGTTGAGAGCTCATATTCTGCTACAGACACTTTGAAAGCTGCCCTGAAGCATTTCTTATGAAAGCTTTGTAAAATTGTCTTCGCCCCCTAGTTCGGTGACTACAATCAACTCAATTTGAGATAATTTGCTAGTACGAGAATATGTACATTATTAGGCAAAGCTTGGCTGCAGTCCCCC